ATATTTATATACTGATAGAGTTTAATGGTGATTTTCAGGTTTTTAAATGTTATAGTATATTCAGTTATCTTTAATCTCTTACTGGAATATTGGAAAATTACAATTTTAACACATTTGTAAATCGTTTGTTTCTTCACCTGATTCCATTCCTTCATCTTTTGTTGTTGTTTTTCTCTTTTCCTTCTCTCTCTCTCTCTGTATGTGTGTGTATGTATCCAAAATGCTCAATAAAATAAATATTAAGAAAATGACAACCAAGACTATATTATTTTCAAACTGCTTAGACAGAAAATCTGAACCAAGAATGGGGCCACAGAAGAACAGGGCCTGCACAATGTATGGTTCTCTCTGGTCATTCCATTTATTAAGCTTCAACATAGCTACATTTTCCACTATGGTGTATTTGACAGGCAGATCTTCCTTATACTGACTCCATCTAACAAGAATATCTGTATGAGTCTCCTGTTTGCAAGTCCCCATTGTTGCATTCATACATGAGTTTTTGAATCTTAAAGGTACCTTTAAAAACACAATGGAGACAAATCTGAGTTTGTATACAGTAGGAGTGCAAAACATTTTTTTATCATTTTTTTTTCCTCACATGTCCTCCAGGTTACTTGGTGGGGCCTGTGTTTTGGCAACAGATGGGGCTAATGTTAGGAGCAGGCAGAGCAAAAACAAAAAGTGGGTGTGATGCTTTGCCTATGTCTTTTTCTGGTCATCCTCCTCCTCACTCAAGAGACTGCCAGGCAAAGGACAGATAATTCCTCCTAGACACTCAACTGACTGCTTCTAGTGGACTTCTGATACCAGACTGGTGAGTGCATGTTGTCCAACCCTGTTTCAGCGGCTTTGCAACCAACACTAAATCAAAAGAATTCTTTGTCCAGAGTTGATTCTGTTGCTTCAGCTGTGTACCAGTTATGACTCTACTGGATCAGGATGCCCTGGTGATGGTAACTCGCCAATTGATTATTGCATTGTGCTTTACGTGGGGCTATCTTTGGAGATAACTCTAAAACTGCAGCTGGTACAAAAAGCTGCAGCCACACTGCTGGTGGGACCATCCTGCACACTTTAAAGTTGCTGTATTGCTTGCTAATATATCTCCAAGCTTAAAGCAAAGTGTAGGCTGTTACCTTGAAAGCCCTGTGTAGTGCTTTCTTGTACTTTCTGATTCACAAGTCAGAATCCATTAGGATTGGAGCAGACCACTAATACTGATAGATAGATAGATAGATAGATAGATAGATAGATAGATAGATAGATAGATAGATAGATAGATAGGCAGGCAGGCAGGCAGGCAGGCAGGCAGGCAGGCAGGCAGGCAGGCAGAGGCAGGCAGGCAAGCAGGCAAGTAAGCTTGAAGCACCTTGCTCAAAGCAGGCCATAAACTGGATTAAAGGGGAGCAGATGTTACTTTGCCAGTGCCAAAGTCTACTGTATTTAAAAGCCACTTGAAAAGTTGCCAGAGACATATTTCATTCAAGCATTCCTTAAGCTCCTTGAGCTAAAGCAACAAGTACCCCTTATTCCACATCTGATATATTTTGAGACAAAATGTTTTTTTTTCAGGGTTTTCCTGAGCCTTCAGGCTCCTCCTGATCCTTTTTCAAATTACACCAATGATGGTAAACCAGGGAGAATGATTAGGTTAAATTCTCTGCAGCTGCAGAGGATGAATGTAAAATTCTCACTTGAAGAACCATAACTTCTGGACTTAATTTTCCTATATGACACTATGACCTAAAGAGAGGAGAGGAGAGGAGAGGAGAGGAGAGGAGAGGAGAGAAGAGAAGAGAAGAGAAGAGAAGAGAAGAGAAGAGAAGAGAAGAGAAGAGAAGAGAAGAGAAGAGAAGAGAAGAGGACTTGGAGCAGCATCAGATGCTACTGAGTTTCTTCCATAGCATCAGCTACTGAGAAATTTGCAACAGCCCTGCCCAATTCATCTGCCATTAGAGAACAGAAATTTTATAGGAGCCTTGAGACAGAGAGGAAATAAAACGGAACAGCATACAACAGAATCTAAAACAAGCTTTTATTTTATTATTTTGGGTACCCAAAAAATTGTAAAACCACCTAATAACCAAAGGACTACAGACTTCACTTTAAACAAAAAGCTGACAAATATTTCTTGGCAGCAGAACTCAATAATTAATTTTCCTGTCATTCTTCAAAGAGACAGTGATTCTTCAACAAATGTTTGAATCCTTCCTTGGATTATTAGTCAACACAAACAACACAGAGTGTTTCTTTTCTGTCACTTTTGCAAACAAAATCTATATAACAATGGGCGTATCCCAAGGAAAGCGATTTCGACCTTGAAGATGACATGCATCGAGGAGCATCACACGCATCAAGAGTCACAGATATGAAACAGGAAGATGAAGAGTCTGGCACCACCTTCAAGACTAACCAATTTATTAGGGTATAAGCTTTTATGAGCAGAAGGGTCTAATGAAGCAAGCCGCTCCTCACAAAAGCTTTTGTCCTAATAAAGTTGTTTAATCTTCAAGGTGCTGGCAGACTCCATATCTGCTCTGTCACACAGACTAACACAGCTCTTCCCCCCCATCTCCATTATGAAAAAGGTAGTAGTACTTATGCTGTTACAAAGGAAAATAGATACTACATACTTGATACAAAAAATCTTGAGAGTTCATATAGACATTTTTTATATTCCTTATTCGGTTTCCACATGTAATCAGAAATGAGATCTATGAATATATTCATAAAATGTAATTGTAATTGTCAGAGAGCAAGTAGAACAAGATGGGGGACATACATGTTGAGATAAAAATGAACCTCAACTTTATGCATGCAGCTTATGAAAGATTTGGCACAGCATAGGGTGCAAATTTGTTGAGGAACCAGTTGGCCTATGGGCTGATACTTCCCTTAATCCATCTGCTGAATGACTAGGGAATGGCCAGAACTCTGGGTGCATGTCACTGTGTGAGCCAAACACATGATTTGCCTTGGCACTGTCTTTTCTGAGCCAGGCTGAAGCCTTGTGGTCTCATGTTGCCCAAAAATGCCGATGATAGTGTATAGTATTCCATGACCAGGATTGTCTACAACATTATGTGCTGTCAAGTCATTTTCGATTCCTAACAACCACATAGATATTTTCTCCATGGTGATTTATCCCTAACCTGTTCTTTCAAGCCTCCCAATGGTGCTCTCGTTGCCACTGTAACTGAGTCCATCCACCTTGCTGCTGTTCATCTTCTTTTTCCTCCCTCCTTTCCTAGCATTAGAGTCTTTTCCAGAGAGCTGGGTCTTTGCATAATGTGTCTGAAATAGGATAATTTGAGTTTGATCATTTGTGCCTTGAGTGAGATCTCTGGGTTGGTTTGTTTGATGATCCATTGGTTCGTTTTCATGTCTGTCCACAGTATTCTCAGGAGTCTTCTCCAACACCAAAGTTCAAAGGTGTCAATGCAGTTCCTATCCTGCTTCTTTAATGTCCAACTAAATTGACTGGGACCTGTGGCAGTTCCATACTTAAAATCCAGAGGTGGACTAAGGGGAAAACTTATTTTTCAAGGTGTGTCTTCACCTACAGCTGCCTCTGGAAGGACCAGATTTGATCCGCCCAGGAATGTCCTGCACCTCATAAATTGCAACTAATTCAGAATCGTATTCATGTGAGAAGGGAAAGATGGCTAGTTCTCCTTGCTTTATTTAAAGGAAAGAACTGAGCAGGTCTCTCATTAAGTAAGAACAATTCAGTGCATGTTACACGTTATTCATGTTTCTTTTAAAAGGTGCTTAAACAAGCCATTTAATCTAGATTGCCTGCATTTTCTTTTCCTTACCTTGTATCATCAGTGGAAATGAAACAGGCCAAAGAAAATAAATAATAGAATGAATATTAAATAACATACACAGAGAGTATTAAGAGAAAAATACGCCCCTTGGTGATGATGTTAATCTCCTGCAAATCTCCTTTTAAAACTCCCAGGATTAACTAATCTATTATTTAGAGCATGTTAAATATTCTGGCCGAGAAGTGGCAGTATTGCCTGCAACTCAAGTTTGTTCGCAATATGTTCTCCCATAAATAAAAGAGGGTACATGAAATTTGTAAACGCCTTGGCACCTCGCAAGAAAGGTGAGACGACCAGAGAAAAATAAAATCGCATCTATTAAAATTATGGCTGCAAAGCCAGATAAGTAATTGTCTTTAAAGACAGTCATTTATTAGTTTTACTCGATCCTGTAGTACGTGCCATAGCAGCGACGTAGATAGACCTTGAATGAAAATTATACTGGCAGGTATTAACTTAAGCACTTTTTGAAAATGCCCCACTGAGCTAAACGAAGCTTAAGAGGACTTGGTTACGCTGCGCTTCTCTCCCCCAAATAAAGGGGAATAAAATGAGAGAAAATGCTAAGAAATATGAAACCTGCTAAGGAATTTAGCCTTCTCCTAAAATTAACCACCGCGGAAACGCAAGCCAGTAAATTAACAGAGTCTAAAAGCGCAAAAAGTTGGAAACAACTACATACAAAAGCAATCCAGTAAAAAGTAAGATATTAACAGAATTTTATAATTGCCCTTCATGAAAAGTTAAACGGCTTTCCTTCGCACCGCTGTTCCCGCGGCCTGTTTAATGTGACGTCATTACGCCATAGTCGCAACGCAAGGCGAGCTCAGTTGTGTCGGGAAGAAACAGCTTCGTGTTCTGTAGTCGTGGCCGAGTGGTTAAGGCGATGGACTAGAAATCCATTGGGGTCTCCCCGCGCAGGTTCGAATCCTGCCGACTACGGTCAAAAAAGGTTCTTTAGAGCGTTTATTTTGACACGAAAAAGCCATTCAGACGGAGATTTGGAAAACGATGAAAATCGTGCACGGTTTACCTTTATGCTTCACTTTATTAACCAAGTTCTGGGAACGGCCAGGCCGAGGGGGCGTGGCCAGTATGCGCGCGGCTTTCCTCCCCGCCTCCCATCCGTTACCGGAGCAACGGGAGAGCGAGCGAGCGAGCGCGCCAGCCGGGGAGACGGGCTAAGATGGCGGACGACCTGGATGCGCTGCTAGACGAGGTAGAGAACAAGTTTTGTCGTCTCTCGAGGCGGGACTGCTCGGAGCGGCTCCGAGCCAGCCAGGGGCGGAAAAGGGACCGCCTCCTTGAGAAGGAAGAAGAGGCGGAGGCTGAGGCGGCCGCAGCGGGGGAGAGGGCCAGGTGAGCAGTGCGCATTTTGTCGTCTCTCGAGGCGGGACTGCTCGGAGCGGCTCCGAGCCCGCCAGGGGCGGAAAAGGGACCGCCTCCTTGAGAAGGAAGAAGAGGCGGAGGCTGAGGCGGCCGCAGCGGGGGAGAGGGCCAGGTGAGCAGTGCGCATTTTGTCGTCTCTCGAGGCGGGACTGCTCGGAGCGGCTCCGAGCCCGCCAGGGGCGGAAAAGGGACCGCCTCCTTGAGAAGGAAGAAGAGGCGGAGGCTGAGGCGGCCGCAGCGGGGGAGAGGGCCAGGTGAGCAGTGCGCATGCTCGTGCCCTCCCCCTCTCCCTCCCCCTCCTTGACCGCTGAGGCTGAGAGAAAAGGCAGGTTGCAGGGGATTGGAACACTTCCGGTGCCCCAGCGATGCGGTCCCCTACCTGGCGCCCTCCAGGTGGGTTGGCCTGTCATTCCCGATCAGTTCACGTCACATCAGGAGGGCCCAGGCAACGGAAAGAGGACTTCCCTTTTTAATGCATATTATTCTAAACTTTGTAAGCTGCAGTAATAAGCACACATAAGGTTAAGTCTCTTTGAACACACGGAGTTTCTTCCGAGTAACGGTTGCTTTTTAAAAGACTCCCTAGTTCTTTAGTTTTTGGAAAAGGCCATCAGCAGCTGCTCTCTTCTGTTTACTGATTATGAGTGATGCTCTGGGCTAGCATATGACAGTGCTCAATCGGAAACCAAAAATGGGGACAAACATATTTCTATGATTTCCCCCTTCTTATCTTTGTGGATTTTCTCTCAGCCAGCAGTAAATTCTTTCTGTGCAATTATTGCTGCCTTTTTCAGTTCTGCTCCATGCCACAACATTCAATCAAATTGTTGATATTTCTACTTTTCCACATTTCCCTGCTTTTTGTCCTATCTAATCTGGAGAATCTCAAAGGCTTTTTTGTTGCATTATGTTACATTATGGTTAACTTCTAATAAAGGTATTGCTCAGCTACAGAATTGTGAGGGGAGTGTTTTGTTTTTTGTATTTTTTTGGCAGAACAATATGACTACATTTTTACCAAGTGATGCTTCTCTTCTATTTTCTTCTCTAGATTTACTAAAATATTGACAAAAGGAGCCAATGAAGAAGAGGACATAGATGAAATAATTAAAGATATAGATGAAAATACTTATGCCAGAAATTTCACAGTAAGTATATCTCTGAGAAAAGAAAGACACATAGGTCAGTGTGTTTTTTCCCTAACCCTTCACCTGTTCCTTATGATTATACAGCTGGTTAACTGGTCCTTTGTTCTCTTTCTTTTTGTTAGACTCCTAGATCATTCAGCTCGGCATCTGAAAATAACAATACCTCCACTCAAACCCATGGTAAGAAGTAAGTAAGATTTACAACTAAATAAATAATGTTTAATCAGTAGCTAACTTGAATTTCATTACATTGGCAGTGAGTCAACAAAGAGATCTTGGGTTGGATCCAGAATTAGTTGCTCTTAGACTCCATCTAGAATTGTTGCACCTATTTTGCAACAATTGTGTGCATAAGCACTCAAAACTGAAGTTTGAGATAATCAAAACAACAGAGTACAGTGGTACCTCGGTTCACGAACTTAATTCGTTCCACGACTCTGGTCGCAAACCAAATTGGTCGCGAACCGAATCAAATTTTCCCATAAGGTTCAATGT